CACAACAATTACAACATTCAAATAATACAAATGATACACATTATTTGTTCCACAATTTTTTTGTGGAACTGTCGCAAGGGTCTGTGCGGCTGCCATTCGGCGCCACAAGGTGACCTCAATACGACTTTCCCCAACCGAAGTTAGGTACCCATTCACACCAGGGTGGAGTGAGGAAATTCGTGTAAAGTGCCTTTCGGGGCGCATGTTCAGACATGTCCCGGGTACGACTCGGAATCGAACCCGGGTCTCCCGGTTCACAGTCTATTGCTCTAACCACTACACCAGCCGACGCCACATAATGTTTTAGTGATGCACAGTGAGATGTTCTTACCTGTACAGGTGACTCCGTTCCCGCTGTATCCGGTCCTACAGGCACATCTGAAACTGCCGGCAGTGTTGGTACAGGTTGCCAGAGAGTGACAGTTGTGCCTGCCAGTAGTACATTCATTGATATCTGTGGACACAAGCAACACAAATTAACAGGGCGAACTAAATCTTATAGATTATCATTTGTGATATGAAACTCAATCGAAGTTTACCTAAACATTGATGTATATATTAGCGAGATGATCTCACCTGTACAGGTGACTCCACTTCCGCTGTATCCAGTCCTACAGGCACATCTGAAACTGCCGGCAGTGTTGGTACAGGTTGCTCGAGAGTTACAGTTGTGCCTGCCAGTAGTACATTCATTGATATCTGTGGACACAAGCAACACAAATTACCAGGGTCAACCAAATCTGTGAGATACTGTTTCGTAATACAGAATTCAATGGAGGTACATGTAATATATTCAACCTGACAATATAATGTTTTAGTGATGCACAGTGAGATGTTCTTACCCGTACAGGTGACTCCACTCCCGCTGTATCCGGTCCTACAGGCACATCTGAAACTGCCGGCAGTGTTGGTACAGGTGGCTTGAGAGTGACAGTTGTGCCTGCCAGTACTACATTCATTGATATCTGTGGACAGAAGCAACACAAATTAACATGGCTAAGTACATCTTTGTGATTTGTTCGTGGTGTTGAGCCCAATGGTTCGGAAGGTAATGAATTCAATATTGACAACTAAATGTTTTACTCGTGCACAGTGAGATGTTCTTACCTGTACAGGTGACTCCGTTCCCGCTGTATCCGGTCCTACAGGCACATCTGAAACTGCCGACAGTGTTGGTACAGGTGGCTCGAGAGTGACAGTTGTGCCTGCCAGTAGTACATTCATTGATATCTGTGGACACAGGCAACACAAATAAACAGGGCGAACTAAATCTTATAGATTATCATTTGTGATATGGAACTCAATCGAAGTTCACCTAAACATTGATGTATATATTAGCGAGATGATCTCACCTGTACAGGTGACTCCACTCCCGCTGTATCCGGTCCTACAGGCACATCTGAAACTGCCGGCAGTGTTGGTACAGGTGGCTCGAGAGTGACAGTTGTGCCTGCCAGTAGTACATTCATTGATATCTGTGGACACAGGCAACACATATTAATAGGGCGAACTTACTCTTTGGGAATGTCATTTGTGATATGGAACTTAATCGAAGTTCACCTAAACATATATATATTAGAGTGTTAGATAATCACGAAGGACATGAAGAACAAAATAAACTCTTTTGCTACTTCGTGTTACCGTATTCTGCTGAATATCTAAAGGCGTGACCGGGTAACAACGACAGCATTTACAACTTGACCCAAACTAGTCCGCTGATTCAGCATGTGCGTCTGAGACAGCTGAACTTTCTGGGACACATCCTGCGCATGCCTGAGAATGAACCTGTTAGACTGTATGCCCTCTACGTGCCCTCTCATGGCACTCGCAGGCAAGGCCGACAGCCTACCTCCTACTTCAAGTATGTCCAGGAACTACTGGGAGATGAGCACAATCAGCTAACTAAGAAGCAGATCGCCAATCTTGCTAGCGACAAGGGGCAGTGGAGGGATCTTGCAGTCGCCTGCGCAGCAGCCGACCGATGATAATGATGATATATATATATATATAT